CCTGGGATTAGAAAATCGGTTCCCCCGTTTTGGCGGACGTGTATCTGGCCTGTTGCTTTTTTTTTTAACCCATCCTTATGGTTATGAAGCGTTTCGAATAGCATACCGTAGCTGCTTTCCTTGTTCGCATAGCTCACTGCTTTCTTTGATCAGGTCTCCTGTAGCTGCTGATGATCAGCTGTGGGCATGAGAATGTGCGATTTGCAGTCATGCCCACCTGTTCTGTGGCTTCTGCTACTTATGAGAGGTCGACTGGATACCATACCATTGTAATTTCACCGCCAGTCGTTCCTTCGCCATATAACTCCAAAAATGCCGGTCGCAAAAAAACAAATCCGGTTCGTTTCAACAGCGCTTTCATGAAGTTGCTGCCGCTTTTTTTTTCCAACGTTGCCATAAAATTCGTCCAAAAACACCCTATTTATTTATATTGTTTCTAATTGAAGAAGCTATTTAAAATGAAGTCAGACGTGCTTTTTTTTTTTCATAAAAACTCCAGTAAGTCACAGGTGTTTTCCCAGTAGATCACGGAAAAAAACACCAGGTGTTTTCCTGGCATTTCAAATAACATTACAAATTTTCACGTTTTCCCTTCACTTTGCTTAATACAGAGCTCAGTTTAAAAAAAAAGAAAAAAAAAACAAAATTCCAGCAATAATTGCATTTGAAATTTTCAAGGTGTGGAACTTTTTTGTCGATTTAAAAACAAAAGGATTGAGTGGCGTTCGCTGTCGCTATTGTGACTGGATAACAAATGATCGTAGCCCAACAACGCTGAAATTCCACCTGAAACGAAAGCATGACACCGGCTTGGGTGGTATCTGGAATATTGTTGAGGAACGAATTGGTATCAATCAGCCGCAGAATCGTCCTCGTCCCGTTATCTGTAAAAATGTTTGTTTCATGACATTGGTAAATTAAATGCTGCTGCAGCAGTAACAGCTATTTAGCTATGAGCAAAATACCTTTTTCTGTAAAGATATTGATGCGATATTTTGTTCCGCAACGGAACAGGATAGTATGCGATTTTGCTAAAACATTTGGAATGAAAATATTCACATCCGGTAGATTCTGGACAGTGTCCCCGTGGTACTCGCAAAATAATGAAGAACGACTTTTGGAGCAGCAGTGGGTCAACGAGCGAGAAACACGCATGTTGGTTGATTAGTGGGAGACATGAAGAATTCCGTATGGACCGGACCACGTTGTGGGCACTTGTCGCAGTGCCTCAAATCAATGCTTCCAGATAGCACATCCTACAGTGCTGGTCAGAAGCGGGAAAGATGCTGTTGCTCAGAGTGGAAAAGCTTTTTGCGCAGGAAGCCCACTGAATTATGAAAGCCGGAGCACACGAGATTTGTAAACTTTTCTGCAGTTAAGGGGAGTTGAAAGTGCCTAAGAGACTCAGACTTAGCGGATTGGAACTGAACAGGAAAGATGGTAAGGGACATCAGGAAAAATCGCTCGCTTTGCCTGCTTCTCATGGTTATAAAGAGTTGAGGGAGCGGGGAGGGAGTGCAGTGAATGCGGTTCATTTTCAAGTATTAACGATAAGCGATGACTGAGAGGGTGAAACTGATTCTGGATGAGCTGCTGATATGAATTTTGTTCTGGATAAACTGCTTTTGCAAGTTAGGATTTAACAGCTGTCCGCTTGTTTGGTACGGCATTTCATGAATTTTAATTAACTGGAGGCTCTCTTACAGCAAAGCACTAATGAGAACCGTGTGGCACTAATTGATGGGTTGTCACAGGCTGGCCAGCTCTCTCAGCACTATTCTTCGCACTCATTCCAGGAATGCGTGAGGGAGGAGGACTGCGCATCGTCAAAGCATGCCACGCTTTTTGTGGTAGTAACTGTTGGATTTGCTGCGATGAAAGTCGCTGTGAAAGGCGGAAGCACTCGGAAGTAGTTCAAGTGATTGCTCGTGCTACCAGTAATGGTCCTTTGCGAAACTGTCAATAGGCTCTGTCTTCGGAGGATTACTTAGAAGCAAACTGGTAGTGGATTTGATCCGCTGGCATTTGTTCAGTCTACCACTGAAACCAGTGAACTAATAGTAGATTAACTGATTTTCGCACTGGGGCAGCCGAACCGTTGACCCTTAGCAAGTGAGCGACGCTACGTGCCACTGCGACAGGCCCCCAAGGAGTTAGTGCAGAGCGGGTTCTGGCTTTTTTTAGCAAGAATGTCTATCATAAAAGATTTATATACGCATTGCTGATGATGCCGATCCAGTCACGAAAGGGACCAGAGACTGGCTGCAGCTGAGGAAACTCCGTCCATTCCAGCTGCATCAGATAGATGGGACAAAAGTTGCCAGCATGGCCTGGGCGAGAAAGCACAGTTGGTACGGTTGTGGCAGGTGGACAGCGGAGACTGTAGGGCTACCCCAGGCCAGGCATTTTTAACGATTGGGAAGATTGCTCGTTTTGCAAGTTTTCTTGCTGGGAGCCGCGTAAATTATATATATATATATCTTTTTTTGTGGGAAATAGCACCGCGATGAATTTCAGAGCGAATCGCCACCACTTAACGTGGGCCTTTTGGAAAACGATGCTACTGGAGCTCCAATCGGCGTTGCTCGGGAAATGCCCTGTTATCCTGGTGAGTGGCTCTTTTTCACGTCACTTGTTTGTTCCTTTCAGATCCCGCGTTTTTGGCATCCTGAAATCTTTGATTTGTGTATGCATGTGTGTGTCTTCAAATGCGCCGTAACTGTTGAGCAGTTAAGTTATCTCGCGCTACTTTCGTTGTCCAGAATCGAGCATCTAAAGTATCTAGTAAAAAATGTTCACCGACTTCGTGCTGTTGAACAGTGCTCGTTCCGTTGTAGTGCATGTTCATCTGTTTGATTTCACATACACACACACACACACACACACACACGGATACAGTGACCCGTAGAAGCCGCTGTCCCTTTTTGTGACCACAGAACGCGAAATTTTTGTTTTTCGAGTAAGTTGAGTACGGCAAAAATTCGTTAAATAAAAAATTCCTTAAATGTGGTGAAGGAATTTGCCTTATTGTGGAACTCAGAAGCGAAAACTGTGTTATGGATAAATTAAGCTTCCCTTAGTATTTCTTTTATCGCATCATGAGTTTTCTTTGGCATGAAGCGGTTTATCTGCGAAGCGTAATTGGGCATGCTATTCGCTGTACTTTTCAGTCCTGTTGTCGAAGCAACATCGCGGGCCGCCGATTAAGGATGTGGGCGATGGAGCGTCACCTTATCTCATGCAGTCTCCGATTGGTACGTAGAAAAAGCTTACATTTGCATTTTGTTTAAATTTTATTGAGAAATTGAACCACTGATATTTTCCAGTGTAATTCAAGAACCATCCCAGAGCACACATTATTTACTGTTCTTTGGTTTTCGGG